CCTTTGTAAGGCCACAGATGAAAGAAGCTGGAAGTATACATGTTTCGCGACCCACTTGCCAAAGGGCTCAATGAGGCGCAAGCCCACGCTTTTGTTGATAGAACGGGGTATATCAGCCTGACAACAGCCATAGACTCAGCCATATTCAGCAGCAATTTTGAAGCATCCCACAAGTCGCAGAACATCTTTCGCAGATGACAGCCAGTACAGCCTTCGATTCCAGGTGTTTTTTTTCGCTTCGGGCAGTCCGAGCTGCTTCATAGCCCCTAGTCGCCTCCTTGCTCCAGAAGGACCATGTTCGTGGCCCTTGGGCCCCGTGCAATGCCACGTTCGTCGAATGGGTGGTTGATGACTTCTCCAAAGCATCCCCCAAGCCACATCAGTTGAACCAATGATGAAGAAAGGGTATGCTTGTGGTTCAACTGCATGTTCCCACCAAGTGAATGATTGGCGAGCTTGACCAGTTGGTGCTAGCACCACACCCTCACCTGCGGAAAACCCAGCTTAGGCCGTGGCTGTGTGCCTTTTCGACCCAGAGGTGTGGTATATCTGGGAGGAAGGGCTGAAGGGTTGAGCTGAATTTCTGAAGGGAGGTTTTCGGGTTTTTCGGGGGCTGAGCTCGGCTGTCCTTTCCGCCAAAGACCAGGAACTCGTGCAACTCGTAGTAATGACTACTCCGCCTCGCCGGGACATCCCGGCTGATGGCGGTCTGGCCCCAAAGGTGGCGGTTTCTTCAAAAGAAGCATCCCTTCCAACACTCGTCGTATTGGGGAGCAACTCGTAGGTGGCTGTGTCTTTTCCGGGACATCTTCGACACCTGGACATCCTCAGGCTGAATGGCCAAGGTTGGTTAGGAGAAGAACTCGATATCCGAGTCCCAGACTTTTTATGGTCTTTTGGTGACCCCGAAAGGAACTTCCCTTACTTCCATGGGGCAAAATATACTGTATAGTCTTTGGACTCCTAGGGTTTCATGTTCAAACTCAAAACCTTGGTGTGACTTAGTATGACTTGATTGTACTTGAGTCACGATCAAGACTTGTGAAGACCACTATAGTAAGAGAAGGGTTGGTTGGTGCGCAAAACACTGTAAAACTCCTCACTTGTGAAATAAACGTACAGCCACCATGATCACATATTGTTTACATGATGTTCAACTAGAACTCAGGTCAATGGGCGTAAACAATTTTAAGGACGTCGCTTTTTCTTTGATCAATCCGTCGAACTCCGCGTGTCTTCACGTGTGAAGACCACCGACCCCATGCATCGAAGTTCGTTGCCAGGTGGTGTCCGAGCAACGGCTACAAGAGCTTTGTGATGAGGACTGGGGTCGCAAGATGCAGAGGTTTGGGTGTTAAGATGCAGTCGGGTACACCCTGGGCTCTCAGTAAGGAGAGACAAACTTAGGAAATGCGTACTGAAATGAATGCCACATGCCACACGCCCACCTAGGTTTGAAAGCCTAAGAAGTCAGGTGAAAGGTAAACCTGAAAAGGTCAATGGATTAAATGGAGTGGAGTCCGTTCCAACTCAAAAGACGACGACCACGATCCAAGGGATCGACGTCCCGTGCGAAGATTGGTTGGTCCTAATGAATAGGCCTTGCCCAAGCCCTTCAAAGGGGGTCCTTTCCAACAGGTCGGCATCTCGACACACTTTCATCAGGTCGGCATCGAGCTCAGGTGGCAGAAATCCCACGGCGAATCAAGCAGACTCAATTAGACTAAAAGTGACAGTTCTATCTATATAGGATCGACATGAGTCAGCATCTATATTGTTTTTTTGGTATATATTTTATGTATTATACACAAATAGTTATATAAGTATGTAACGTAGTACACACAGTATTGAGCAGCACTGCACGTCTCCATTAGGCAACAGGTACAAACAAATTGCTTCGACACCGCTCCCGCTGAATTTGTATGACTCTCTCCGTCAGGAAGCGACGGCCCGCCCGGGGTCCTAGCGGATCCGTTCGACGCTCGAGCATTGATGACCTCTGAAAGTTGGTCCACGTGGCCGTTTTCCTCCCAGATGTGACAGAAATTGTTGATTAAAATATCTGAAGGCATGGTTTAGCTTGTAAAAAGTAAGAAACAGCACATCACGCCACTTTTTGTTTTGAATTGGGTTCCTCGAACCTCTCGAACCGCCTGACTGAGGACAGCAAGTGGAGCAACAGCCACTTTGAACGCATTCTTGGTGGCGGTGTTGGGTTTGCGATGGGTCTTGGAGATGCAAAGAACACTTGACTACTCCAACTTTCAGGCACTTTCTCACCAGAGAAGAGAATGAGGCACCAGCATTCCTTACCTTTTGTTTCCTTTTGCTTTGGCTTTCAGGTGGAACGCACCCGACCACCAGAGATTGTCAAAAGAACATCAACTGTTAGGTCAACAAACTTGTCAACTGCAGAATTTGGCGGATAAGCCTGACAAGATCGCAACAGATTTTTTGTCACTGGATCGCATGTGATGTGGCGGCATCGGTGGCGTTACCAACAACAACGAGAGACCAGAGTAAATCCAGAGAACTCTTTGCCAAGCGGAGAACTAATTTCTGGGATCGCATGCGATCGTGAATCAATCGGGAATCAACCATAGCGTCCCAACATAGGGAGGGCATTGTTTACCATTGACTTTTGTGATAGCATCTTTATACTTAATTCAACAACTGCTGGATAGGCATGCATCCTAATGTTTAAACATGTTTAAACCACACTGAGTTTGTACGATTCACTCCATGTCATTCGCTTCCTCACTTGCTCGCCATCCGAGCGGAAGCGGAAGCGTGGGTGTTCGAACCATCAGACCAAAAGCCGAAGAGAACACCGAAGAGAGCCGTCGGTGTGGGTTTTGTGTTTGATTCCTCCGAAAAAGAAACAACACATGTTTTCTTCTTCAGCCATTTTTTTGAGTTCCAAAGTTTCCAAACGAATATCAGAAGGTATTCAAACAAACACAAAGAGAACATCCGTTCGGAGTGCCCTCAGGTTCCGGCATGAGCTCCAGGAGCTCCAGGAGCTCCAGGATCGCCGCGGAGGAGCTCGTGCGGAAGAAGCGGAAGTGGAGGCTGAAACGAAGGTGCGGCGCCCTAAACGGGCAGGTTGGGACGGAGATATAAGATTGGATAAGATAGATGCATAGTGAAAATATGTGGTCTTTGTGTGGTTATTATTGTATGGTGGTTGTATGGTGTTGTAATGTTTCGTAGGGACATGTTCAAGATTTTTGCAATTGGAACGAATGAAACATGATGGTCCCATGACACCGTCGCACGAAGTACAACTAAAAAACTGAATCGTGGGTGTGTCCCATGACCTGTAACAGTCGGTAAACAATCATACATTAGACTAAAGGCCTTGGCTAACCATCAACATCCACTCGTATACAGGTTATGGGATCAATGACCCATATGACAAAAGATACAAGCTTAGCTCGTGCCGCGTGCCTTAGTTTTTGTTGGTCAACGAACGGTCCAGTACGTACAATGACACGGACTCTTTCCGATTCAGAGCATGGTTGCAGCATGGTGGTTGGACTCCGACTCCTGTGGATGTTCAACACTCCGTCCATGTGTTTCTACCAAGCTCGGTTCGCAAGCTAAGCACAGCGCTGCATCAAGCTTTGCTTTGCAGGTGCGCTACCAAGATGGGAGCTCGGTGCTGGTCTTCGACATGGGAGCTGAGATTACGGAGGAAGTGGGATTTGTGGATGTGTTTGTTGAGCTGATAGGCTTGGGTTGAGGAAAATCACAACTGATTTCCTTGGTCTTGTGGATCAAAGGGTGATGTCTCCCAGATGTTCTAGTAGATGTCACCGGCTCCGAACCAACAAAATAAACAAGATTGACCAAGATAATGAATCAGTTTCTTGGACCATAAAGTGATTGTTTCTTGGACCATAAACAAAATAAACTGATTCCAAGAAACGTCCGTTTCAAGTGGCCGAGTTCGTTCGGCGCCTGCTGGAGCCTTCGAATAATTCGAGTCCCTCAGTTCGAATCATGGTGGTTACGTGGATGGCATGGCTCCCTTGAGTTCGGATGACCATGTTCCAAAGACCAAGTACGTACGGAGTAGAACATGGTCATCATGATCCAAAGACCAAGAACCGTGTTCGGATGACCATGGTTCACTCCACTCACCACGAGAAATCGTTCGGAGTGTAGAGTCCCTGGCCACATCATGCCACATCCTTCGTTGCGTGCATGGTAGTGCATGGTCCTTCCTTAGGTCGGTTCTATTAGGTCCTGAGGTCCTGAGGTCTTGGTCTGATAGATGTCCTGGCTGCAAGTGCTGCATCCACGAGGACACTCCAGAATCCATGAGCATTTCGTAAACCCGGCAGTATGTCTTTCAGTATTACACCCAGCGCCCCGTACAGGCTACAGTCAGCAAAAAGCAAGTGAATCACCAATTCCGATCCAACTTGTCAAGTACCTATTCTATTCAGCCTGAGCATTCTATCAGCCCATGTTCAACCAATCCAGTGAGACCAATCCAATGCAAGACCCTAAGTCGCTTGACCCTGACTTGAGTCTATCTGCACAGCGGAGTGCGGAGTCGTCGTTGACTGCGTCTCTCGCAGAGTTACTAGGCTCTGGCAAGTACTTAGGCAGACCCAGCTAGACCAATATATAGGGACACAACGAGTCACATGCCGAGATCCTCAATGTTTTGTTACACAACGAGTTCGCGCGTGATCGGCCGCTCTGGCATCCGATCCGGTTTTGGGCTGCCATTGGGCGGTATGCAAACGAAGGAGAGTCGGGCCACGTTGCTTGAGGGGTTTGTCACGGGAAGTTCCCGTGCCACTGTTCAATCCAAGAATTCCCAAAGCATCATCAAATCCTTGGCGCCCATGTTATATCCAATGAAGCATCCACCGACGAAGAGTGGTTCTAGATGGTTCTAGGTTACTTTATAAATCTCTAAAAGAATCATGTGTCAAACTGGAACCTTGACATTTCTTGCATTTTGCACCCCTTTCTTTGCAGCCATGGCTTTGCCCACTGCTCCAATCGTGCTGACCGCACCAACGGAAGCCGTGCGTGCCGGATCCGCGCTGCATGCCACACGAACCACGCGCTCCACGATCGTCGACCGCGCGCGACACGATCAGCGCACGTGGCGCAGCGGCTTGACCGCCGTGGCAGCTGCAGGTGCGGAAGCCGCACGGCGGGCGGGGGGTGCGGAACGCGCAGTGTACTCTCTTAGGCTCACCCCGAAAAAGATAGCTCCCACCGTTGGGTGAGTTGAATTGGTTTGAAGGTCGATTGGAACGACAAGGGATCCTGACGATCCGTGAACGACTGTAAGCTGATGGCATATGGGATATCTTATATAAATACATTATCCACACATCCCTCTGAGTTAGCAGATATTTTTTTTTGGTTAAATTTCAACGGTTAACTTTTTAGGCTGGGGTGTGTGTATGTGAAAGCTTCCTGCGGTTAAATTAAGAGATCAGCAGGTCGTTCTGATAGTTCTGAGGTTTTCGTACCTTCTGTCTGCCACGGAAATGGAACTATTGTTCCACGGAGCAGATACAATCCCACACACATTTGTGATTTGTGGGGTATGTGTGAGGTCAACCCCTCCTGGATAAAAATATATACAGGCGTATACAGGCGTACAGGCTGGACAATTGTCTGCAGGTTGGTGGATGTGGGGGCACAGACAACAAGCCTAGTAGGATCTAGTAGCTTTCACACCTCTAGGTTAAGGTGCAAAGGATACAGTGCTTGGTTTGTTGGGCTTTAATGTTCCGGGAAAGGAACGCTATGAACATTTGCTGTCTATGATTGCTCTTGCATGCTTTTGTAGGGGGGCCCCTGGACATTGATTGTTGAAAAATTATCTAACAAATGGTGATATCCTGGATAACTTGTTGAAATCTATGTCCCAGGGTCTCAGTTAAATAGATTAATTATCCTGGGGCGGTTGAGGGGGGGGGTCCTTCTAAGATAATCCATATTTGATGGCAATTCCGCGGTGTGGACAACGAAAAGGGGCATTCCGCGTGATACACCAACTCATGTTGAAGCAAATACGGGAACACAAACCAAACCAGAGCATTCCCAAAAGAAAGGACAACATGTATGGTGCAGTTATAAGATAGCCAGATGATGCCAGATGTTTGTTTGTCACGTGGACATCACTTTGTGATGATACTTAAGAACCTACTTGCAACTCGGCATGAAGTACTCCCTTCCTTGTCTAACCTTGGTCTATGATTCCACTACTCCAGATTGGGGTGGACAATTTGACGCTGAGTCAGCCCATTCCCCCACCCATTAGCAATTCAAACAACTAACATATATATACTTTATATACAATTTGCTGCCCAATAATTATGCTTTGAAACGTGAAACTTGTGGAATCTTGGGTAGAGGATAGGGAGCTTCAGCTCAGCTTCACTCCACATTAATCCTACACTAGTCTGCACTGGCGGAATTAATTATTCACCGTGTTTGAACTCATCAACTCACCTCGCCACTGCCAGTGGCGGCCACACGCCCGCAGCGCAGCACAGCGAGTGGGCGCGACTACGGCGAACGCGGCGCGCAAAGGAGATTGAGGGGGCCCAGGGCCTTGCAGCAAGCGGTGGCTTGAAATTATTCAGCGGGTGATGTCTTTGACTTTCCCAAGTGAAGTAAATAGTTTTATAACAAAGATCACAAAAAAACATCAGAAAAGTGAGTGCCTTGTGTTTGGGGATTACTGAGAAGTTGTTTTATCTTTATCTCATTGAAAGATAATGTTTGTGAGTCTTGGTCTGGGCGAAGTATAGTAATCCTTCCATTGGACACGGAATATTCACCTGCTTAAGATCAAGACCCGCTTAAGACCTGCTTAAGACCACATTCCACATGGAATAAAGCGTTGTCCGTGTCAATAGCAAGTATTATCACAACCTACTCTCCCTAAGTCAATGTCTATTCTTCCTATTCTTTGCCACGCCTCCCATGAGCTTGCGAATCCAAGGTGGACTTGCTGGTGAAAGAGTTGGAGGCGGACGGAGTAGGGGGGAGCTGCCTTTTTTCAAGGTGCAGGTCGAGTGGGGAGTGAATCACACTCACGGTTTGTCCATGTGTGCGCTGGCAGATTTGGGAGTTTGGGGGGATGCATCAATTGCTGCTCGTAGATTTCTGGACTTGGGTTTGATCGCTTCCACCAAATGGACACCGACGCTGCTTCGGCGTGTCCGACACCCGCACGCCAGATGGATGAGAGGGCGGCCATGCGCATTGTCAAGGCCAGTTTCGATAGATGTTCCTTGTGTCAACTTCGCCGTTGGGCTTCTCGCTTCAATCTTCTGAATCATGCTGAATCAGTACATATCACTACCGTTGCCAGACAATTCCGAGACACCAAACGATTATAAACGATTCAGAAATCCTCAAAAGATGGACACGATGTCGCTAGAATCACTGATTGTTTGTGTATCCAGAGGCCATTGTCCACTTCCTAGTGGTTGTTTGTAGGAAGGCTCATTCTTTTGGGGTCACGATGAGATGATTACAAGCATGCAAAGCATGCTAAGGAAAGCCATGAAAGAACCTCCCAGATGTGGGACACCCCTTCTTGCTCTCGCATCATGGAGGGATCGGTTGATCTTGCAGGATGAAGTGGGACTCTTGTGGGACTCTTGTGGTCGGTTCTCAAGTTTTAGTTCCAAGAACGAGAAGACCAGTGACCCAATGAAGGCCAGATGGTTTAGATGTGTTTCCTTCTTGTTCAAGACATGTTTAAACACGAGACATGTTTAACATCATTGAAGAACACGGGGATTTGGTGTGTCCCTGGAACAGGCGTTTGAGGTCGCGCACCGACCCCCCTTAGGTGCGCTCGCACCGCGACCCGCGACCTCACCGGAACGACCCGGGGCTTCCCTGCAGGACATCCGGACCTTTGTGGTGGCCCGCGAGGGCGAGGATGCCACTTGGGGCATGGGGGAGAGAGTGAGCGACCGTGGGCTCCAAGTTTTGATGGGCTCCGTTCCTTTTTTTGGATGGGCTCAGAAACTGAGCTCAAACAGAAACATGGGAAAGCTGGCTTTTGACGGTGTTTTTTCAGCAGGTCAGGTTGCAGGAATGGATCAAAAGTATAGGAAAGCCACGTGGGGAGCGGCCAGGCAATGCTGTGTTTGCATGGAGAATTGCTCGCCTTCATGGGAGCAGCGGTTGCAGCTGCAGGAGAAGCCAAGTGCACTCCAAAATTTCTCCCCGAGGAGACTGTGTTTCACGGCCCACGTGCTTCCACCTGGGCTAAACTGGAACCGAAACACGCACCGGTGGAGCTCTCACCCCTCAACGCGGCCCATTCAGCTCCCTCATTCGGCTCCGTTCCGCAGCCCATTCGGCGCATGCTTAGGCCACGGGCAGCCGCAGCATGGCTTGGGCGAAGCGCTTGTGCCGTGGCTTGAAGATGCTCGGCAAGCTGCGCAGATCTGAGCAGATCTGTGTTGAGAAAGGATCGATGATTGTAGGATATTGTACAGTGATCGAACTAGCAAAACTTCCGAAGAGTCTGTGGTAAATGAACAATTATATCAATAGGTCTAAGTAGACTCAAGCTGGGTTGTTTGGTTGGTTGGTTGTTTGGGAGTCTCCTTATTCTAGTACACACCTGCAAGTTGTTATGTTTTCAATGTTCACATGTTCTTGGATCTTCTTGAGTGGGCCCCACAGGCAGCAAGAAGGAATCATATATAATCATATGGAATTACTTACTTGATGCTGTTTTTGGACAATAATTACAAGAAGGACTCTTTCAGGGATTTCACCCAGGTGGATAGTATTTGGAGTTGTTTGACAAGTATTGGATGGAACTACCTGTGCCAATACTTGTTTTTGAACGCCTTTTTCGGGGACTTTGCACCCACACCCAGTCCGGGTCCGAGGTCATGAGAGGGGTCAGGGGATCTCTCATTCTACAAAGTCTTCAACACTTGGATTCTCACAACAGTGTTGGTCCTTCCAAAACCAAAGACGTGAGTATTCAACTAAACCATACTAAACCCAAAAAATTACCTGGACAAATCTCCATACAATGACAACTCATTGTATCCAGACGTAGACGGTAGACGGTAGACGCGCGATGTGAAATCCCAGGATGCACGAGGGCCTTGAGCCATTGCTGCAGAAAGTTGGAGGCGTGGAGACACGTGTGGACGTGCCAGTGCCGCATGCGACTCCCTGGTGGACGTGTTGTTGAAGAAACGCTGCTGAAGACACGTGTCCTACGGCGGGTGACGTATTTTCATAGGCTTCTTAACTTCCGACTTCACTGTTTTGTTTGCTGAGTCGACTCTGCCAGGAGTGGAGCAGGTCTTGTTGGACCTGGAAGCCAGAAGCAACAAGCACGGGGAGGAGGGGCAGTCGAAGCGCTGCTTTTTTTGCGCCCTTGTTTATGCCCGCTGGTGTGGCGGGACTGGCTGAACCAAGAGAGGTTGCAAGTTTCGTGAAAAATCAGAACCAATATGAAAAAGTAATTGATGAAGATGATGAGGAGGAGGAGGAGTGAGACATCCGTTCCGTTTTAGATGGTGTTACAGGCTGGCTGTGTTGGTATCGCTGTTTGAGCTGGAAGGGTTTGGACTGGTTGTAAGCTGTTGTAAGGGTGCGGTGGAAGCATGTTATATAATGTTATATAATTAATGCGTTTCAGTGTAGTCCAAGCTGTTGAACACTTCTTGTGGAAAATGTATGAAACTTTGAGGTTGTAACCGTTTGTCGTTTGTCAATTCCCACAGATGTTTAAGACTTCCCAGCAGACGTGGCTGCATCAGAGGACGGACCCACAAGAAAATAATTTGAGTAATTGCCCCCCCAAAACTTGCTCCCAACTCCTAAAAAGAACCCACAGAAGAGTGAAATGAGATGAAATGAGTATTGATCTAGTAGATAAGTTGACCATGCGAACGTTGCAGAAATCCACTGGCCCGCCAGGTCTTTCGGGACATCACCCGACAGCACCAAGCTCTCCGTGATGGGGAGGCGGTCGACATGGAGGAGAAACCTGAGCAAACACGAGTTCAAAGGATGAATGCTGAACGCTTTTCTCAAAGCCAAGAACACATTCCGAAGACTAACTCGATTCTTGGAATTCCAGTTTTGAAGGCAGTCCCAGATAGTCTGATGGATTTACAATTGGCAAGTGTGTTTCTGTACAGACAATGACGCAGCAGAGAACAGCGTAGCTTTGGGGGGTTCCATTTCGATGTTATCAAGTCAGACTGAGGATCACAGATGATGATTGGCGTCAATTGTTGTGCTACCAAAGAGAAGTGAAGTCAAATGAACCCAATGTGTCCTCGCTTTGCAACGAGCCTTGCTTGAGGGCTCAATGAGGCTGAAGAAGCTTCACAACACGTAATAAATTGTAAACATGGTACAGGAAATTCTTCACTTAACTGGCAATTGAACCACACGTTTGTGTCATAGTGCTGGCCTACAGTTTATGCCACGCTGTTCACTACACCTTTTCCAGCTGGTCAGGACTATGGCAAAGCGGCTGAGCCACTCCGCACAAGTTCCGGAGGGACCGCCAGATGGGTGACAGAGGATGGGAGAGACATGGATTTGGCCGATTGGGGTAGGGTGTGTCTGAGTGTAAACCAGTAGGCCTGCAACCTGACCATTATCATCCACTGGGCCCTGGTAATGGCATAATTCCAGAGTAGATATACATGCCTGGGCCAGTCACTGTGACGATAAGGTTTGAAACGACCGGTGGGTTGTGAAAATTGGAGGGAGAGGTGCAGTATTGTCTCCAGTTCCAAGTTCTCTGGAAGAACAAGTGTTGCGCTGCTCTGCTGAGGCTGCCCCCAGTTCTGACCCCATGCAGTGCCCATTGTCATTTCCATTCTTTTACGATAGTTTCAGGTTCTGGTGTGGGTGGGGTGGGTGACCAACCGCACCAGTATCACGAGCGAGTTGCATTAAGACCTGCTCAAGATAAAGACATCACACCAAGAACGAGTTTTTATACTATATTATATGCACGTTCCATTCAACCAGGACGTGAGAGGACAAACCCTCTTGGGGTCGGTGCCGTTGAAATGGAGGGAAAAGGCAAGGCCTCCCCACTCCCAACAAACGGATTTTGATTTTCTCAGAGGTCTTTGGGGGCTCTCTACACAAACAGGTCAAAAGTTGTTCACGCACATGAAATCTTAGCTTACAATCCTGCCCCTTAGAATCCTACAGAGGTTCGCAGTGGAACTCCAGCGGAGGAGTGTACCCCGAAATAAGTGTATATATAGTAGAGTGGAAACTCTTCCGCCGGCCCAAAAGAACACACGGAGGCTTCTATATAGGTTCAAGTGTGCATTGGATGTCGTGGTGGGTGGCAAGTGATCAACAAAATAACACTGAAGTGAGTAGTTGAAAGAAACACCAGCGTGGTCGGTTAGGTGCGGATTCTGACCTACCAGCATATCACCATGTGTAGCGTTCAACCCACCACAACCGGCTGGCTCCTTATCAAGGCTTGATCAGTGCGGCTGGAAATCATCGGCGGTGCTGCAAGATCGTCCGAAAGTCGGGATGTTCAAGGATGTTCCACCATGTTTTTGTTGGCCTCAGGATCCGGTTTCTGATGGTTTCTGCTGTGAACAAGGGGTCCTTTCTACATGTTTCTACCAGGTTGTCGATTTTACTTCCAGAACAAGGGGCTTTTTCTACTGCCGTGACACGAATGACCACGGATAATGGAAAGGCTGTCCACCGAAAAAACGGTGATCACGCATAAAAAGCCGCATGACACGAAAGCGATGGCACCCAAGGGATCAGCCGATCCCTGGGCTGCTGGGGTTCAGGTATATGGCTCAGGAATGGTGGGTTCGTGCCTCTGCCGAGCGGATCATCGACCGTATCGACCAGTACTTCTTGCTGAGCGGCGAGCAGGCGAGTACTGCGTGTGGGAGGCGGTTTCTTCTGGCGGAGAAAGGGTGATGTTGAGCTTCCCAAAACTGGGTGAATCTGAAGAAAAACTGGGGAATTTGTTTGATGTGTTTTTTTTTTTCCCCAGCTCCGAACTGGGAAATCCAAGTTAGCTTTGGACAGCGAGTAGCATATACTGACTGGCAGAATCACCCCACAGTGATGCATGATGTAGGGTTGTCATCTCCACCTGGAAAATGGGCAGTTCAGCAGTTCGGTGCAGGCGGCTGAGGGTCCAATCGTTTCCATCCCTGACTTGTGTTGGACATATCCCAGGCACTCCAGGTATGGCATGTTTACATACATTGACCCCTTTACAAGCACCCCAAATGTAGATAGCTATATTTGCCCGTCTCATGGGTGTTTGGTATGATAGGCTCTCATAGCTTCAACATGCTTCAACCTCTTCTCCGTGCCATAGGCTCTTGACAAGGCTTCAACCACGGAACACCACAAGAACTACAGTATAGTTTGGGTCTGTCCTATTGCCTGTAGCAGGACCGGTAAACAATGAGCACTAATTTAGAGATGTTGGCCAACCAGGCCCCATCATCAGGTATTAGGATAGACTCAACATGGTGTAATTACATAGGCCTGTTTGACCTGTTTAATCACCATATATTATATATATATATGCTCTAGGGGGTACTGCACCAAGGCATGGCCGAAACCGGGGCCGCGGAATTTCCGGCTCTCGGAATGCCCCGACCGTGAGGTCCGGAAGGGGCATCCTCCATGGGCCTATTCCAACGACAAGAATAGCGTGCCCAAAGGCAGGGTATAGCCGGGTAGGATGTGTGTGTGTGTGAAACACACTAAAACAGCCCATGATCCACATAGGTGCAGTATGCTCCAGTTGCATGTGTGTTTGCTTTGCATGATGATATGCTTCATGTTCGAGAGCCGCAGTGTAACTAGTTGCATCCATGATCATTGACGAACAAACGCAATGGGGCGGGAAAGGGAGTGATCCACTAGCATAGGCAACGACTGCACACAAATGCTAAAAGTTTTTATTAGGACCTTGACCAGTAGGAAACCAGGTTCTGTATGTAGGGGTGATAGGGCTTGTATTATAGTGGATTATGTGATCTTCTGTGGATGTGCAGGAGGTTGATTCTTTGTTTGAAAGGTTCGAACGAACAAGTAGACGTACTCATGGAGCACGCCTTATATACTCTCCTCAAAGAATCCCCTCCCAGAAAACGAACCGATTTTCTGTCCCATGGATGGGAAGGCTAGGCAAGCACGGTCGAACGTGTTGATTTCATGGCTTTTGGTTGCTTTTGGATGTTTTCGGGGGAGTCTCCTCACGTATTTGCAAGGCCTCCTGACTCATGATCCCATATTATTATCCAAAAGCCTCCTGTTCACGTTCGTGGCGACGAGTCGCCGCTCGAGCGGGCCAAATCGTGGCGACTCTGCCTGTCACGGCGCGATGAAGCCATGCGTGGATTTTTCGGATTTTTTCGGTTTCGCATCAGCGATTCCCTTCTCAGCTTCGTTTCAGGCTGGAAGCAGTACGAAGTCCAAGGCAGGCGTCTTTTCTGGAACCCTGAGACGATGCGCATGCAAACCAAGGCGCGAGCACGCGCGCGGGACAGGAAGCACGTGAGTGGTCGATTTGATTGACTGCATGGGAACATTTAACCCGAGCTAGCTCGGATTGGTTGGAGTTTATAACTGCAGTTCTTAACGCGAAGCATGTGAGAGATAGAAGACCAAGATGTGGATGACATATAGAAATGGAAAAATGGACAAATATGGAAAGACCTCCAACATCCACAAAAATCCATTAATTGGTTGTCCACAGGTATTTTGTTTAACCCACAAAAAAACATCAAAAAAACATTTAAAAAAAAACAACATCAAAAAACAACGATCCAAAAACAACTCGATCAGACGTCCGTTTCGACCTCGTGGGTGGGTGCATCACGGAACAGGTCGTCTCGTTCTATACAAGTAGTCACGGAACACCTCGATGAGACACCGGTGCCTAACCATTACCGTAAGAACTAAGAACCCCTAGTGTGTCCACGCTGTTTGGGTAAAAAAGATGAAAAAAGAAACAGATTTCACCCAATAAGACCACATCATGAAACAATCTGTCCACCCAGATGCTCCAAACAGCCCTTGAAGTCCCTCAGAACCAGATTGCTTCGACCCGTTCGACGAGTCGCTTCGACGACCCGAGGAGTCGGATCCGAGCATCCGTCGCCTCTGCTCTCCTCACCCATCGGATCCGATCAGTTTGGATCGCTCGAGCGAAGTGGCCTCCCAAGCGTTGAGGTTCCTGCCGAACCCCCCCAAGAAACGATAAGAAACGGGTCACACGAAACGTCCCCCGCTCCGTGAAGCCAGTGATTTCCGCACGGACGACACGGACCACACGGAGCCTGCAGTGATTTGGACCTTCCAGACTTGGCAGTTGGCAGGTTTGTTTCAGCAAGAATCGTGCTGACTGTCAAGGGGAATTTGTTGATACACTCATGGTTGATCTCTATTAAAGAAGTAGACATGTAAAACTAATTATATATACTTAATATATATATATACTTGCAATATGATACACACGTTTTTGGGGGCCATCGTCCACGGTAAGAGCTGGAGTCACATGCGAGCTCTTAGGCCGAGTGCCAGTAGGAAGACTCGGAAATGTCTTTGGTATCACACTGTTTCAGAGTGGATGGAGTCTTTGAGGTGGTACCTGTGTCTCTTCCTTCAATAGTGGCACTCAAGAGCATACTGAGCGTGTTTTGCTTCTTTGAACTGGGCCGGGGGCAGGTGGTTTGCTCAAAAGAAGCCCAAACAGACCCCCATGTGGCGATGAAACCGGCGGTGAAACGCCGTCTGCGCCGCAGGCGCCCCCCGGCTATGATGCGGACGAGCCCCCGCGAGAGCCCCCTGCGGCTCGCGAGCCACCGCTGAAGTTACTGGACATTGGCAGCAGTGGCATGGTAGCAACGAAGCACCTGGCGTGGTAGCACCTTCTTCGCATCCTGTTGAATGGAGACAGCACATATACAGTTATATAGATTATACAGTACCTTCTTCAACCCCTAGCCTGCAAAGTGGACACAGGGTAGCTGGATCTCCTGAGTGAAATTCAAATGTCTATAAGAGTTCTTCGTTCGCTGCGGATGTTGCGATAGGGTCTGATCAGCTCTTGAACTATCTTCAAAGCCAAGCCAGTATGGCCTCAGCACGACTGAGATGGCGCCAGGCTTACGGATCCTGATGTATGTCCTGCCGACGACTCCACAGGCCCCTTCACCTGCGCCACACCGTCCGAGGTGTCAATCGCTTTCAAGATTGGCCTTTCTTCGTTGAGGCGACTAACGGTGGACCGAAGAAGAGATGCGACCGGCGGACCGGCGAGAGGACCCAGGAACAGCTGGTCCAGGTCCCCTGCAGGTGCCTTTTTGGAGAATGCAGCGGCTAAACTGAGACACTTCCAGTTTTTCAGGCTGGACGTTGCTAGAGGTGCCGCGCACGGGTAGTTCATGGGTCGTCCACGATCTTGGCGTACAGCACTAAATAGTCAATAGTACATCCTGTAAGGGTTGGATACCGCGTACTTATTGCAATTGCTTGCAGTTCCAGTATCAAGTGTTCATCCACCTAATTATTACTTTGAAGAGTTCGTTGTTATTTGGTCGTGTGTTTGTCCCAGATGCCGGCCGTACTTGAAACCATCCAAAGTATTCCAAAGCGCATCCACCCGGAGTAGCAAAAAATCATCCACTGACGAATCCTTCGCTCCGCCGGTTGCCAGAAGAGGGACCGGCAGAGCGGAGGGAACATCAGTGTGCATGAAATTCAGGAGACCCACCAACCACAGAGATGTGCTGCGCTGCTTGAGACCGATCCTTTTGGCATTCAACATTGAATGAGGAAGACAGGAACCAACCCTGTGTGAAATTCCAGTAGGATGTGAAATGTGAACCAATGCTGTGTTAAAAGTTTATCCTCTTCCAGTAGAAAGCCTTTGGATCGATCAACGCCATCACCTTCAGAAGCACCATCCACGCCCTTGGCGACCGCAGAGGCGCACGCCCTGGACTTGCAACCGCAGGCAGAGGAGGTGCGATCTTGGGTGGGTCAGATTGGCATAGTTCATGAATGTTCATGATGATTCGTGAAAAGCCTGCCAGCTGACTACTGATAGAACTCTGATAGTTAGAACATAGAACGATCGACCATATAGAACACCGAATTCGAATTACCCCCCACAGGCCTTTTGATTCCGGATTTCCTGCGGAGTCCGACCTCATGGTCCCATGAGCTGGTGCACCTCCTGGGTCGTGCGAACCTCGACGTCCGACCACCGGACCTACGCCACGCCACGGAACGGCCAGGTCCTACAGGCGGACTTCTTTGAGGTCCCAATCCTCGAGGCGAGGCGGTCCTCGGGTGGGCGCAAGGATTGAAGAACATCGACCTGGTTCAGGAGATGAGGAGGAGATGAGGAGATAATATACCAGGACCCTCCAAGGGGTGCCCAATGGAAGCCTACAGGTAGTGTGGAGTAGTCCATTGGAGACCCCTTGGAGGGTCCAGGTATGTGTTTCTGTTTATTATGTGTTTTTATTGGGGGGGAGGATCTTATGAGCGGGGTCAGTGAGTGGATCGATGGGAAGACGATGGGTAGCTCATGTGTTTTTTAAAAAAAAGAACGGACAAAGTACACAGAGCTCCTGGTCACTCCCAGAGTGGCAGCAAATCACCTATTGCGGGCGATAGCTCATGTCATGCTAATGCTTTCAGGACCCGGACCTGGGCCTTGAGCTTTCCCACGCAGTACGCTGCGATGATCTCAATGCTGCAGCCGGTGTGGCCCAAAAGTTGGCCGCTTTGATAACACCACGAAGGAACAGGATCAACCATAAAAAATTGGATTGCACTATGATGGATCAAGTTGAATTTGGATTGAACCAAATGAAACCAAATAGAAACATGGTTCCAGAAATGGAAGCAAGTGCAAGCCGCAAGCCTGAGTTGTTGCCATTGACTTCAGAAGATGACTTGTTTTTTGCACTCAAGGGGTTCTCCACTTCCATGTCAATCATGCTTGCTTCTTAAGGGGTTCATTTTCTGCAGGTCCAATGACCGACCTCATGACACCGGGACCTCATGAGTTCAGCCATCGAATGGAAGAAGAAGACTGACCGGGTTGATAACGGCTGCTTGAAAAAATGGCCTCTAGGGAACCGCGCACACACACAAGCTTCGTTCGCATCAATCATGCCCTTTGTCATCCCTTCTCCTTGCAGACGGGTACTGGGTTCTCTAGGTCTCTAGGTGAAGGACTCCGTAGTAGCTTCTTGTCACTAGTAGTAAGGAGCTACTAGTAGCGTCCTGCTACTAGTAGCGATGCCAGGAGCTACTGGTAGCTTCTTGTTACTCCGTACCTGCCCTGCCGAGCATCATGAGTTCATGTGGCTCGCCATGCGGCTGCGACACCTTTGTGGCTTATCCACCAGACGCTCCGCAGGGCTTAGCCACTTGGCTGAAAGGAGGTGAGGCAACCTCTAGGGTCCAAGGGAAGGTGGGGGAGTTGCGTGAGTGCGGCTGGGACACTTCCTTAGTTTTTCGGAATCTACAAACCACCAGGCAGTCAATTGTAGATATCTACAAGCTAAATAAGAACAATTTAATTTGGAAGGTGTACAGATGACATCACAGTCGTGATTGATTGCGACTCTGGGACCATCGCCTGTTCCACCACATACCTGAAATCCACTTTTTGCCTGTTTTCTGGCTGGAGCTTGAAAATGAGATGCCACCCTGTCACCGATAGATAAGATCTGAACAATTAAGAATACACAAAAAGTTGTCAAAAAGTTTGATTCTTGCACGTTGGACTCTTTTTTTCTGGACATCTACATGCCTCCGTTTCAAAGGTATTCTTAGGTTAATTATGAACGAGGATCACCAAAGGTCAGTTTGTCCAGACCTTCACACTCGTTTTCGCCGCGCTTCTCAGGTGGTCTTTGGCAAGAACAGCGACCGCCCCCGGCGCGAGCCGCAGAGTGTGCGGCGCTACGAGCGACAAAGACATGAGCCGGGCAGCGTGCTGAAGTGTGACTCGACGTGCATGGTTGTTTTCTGGCCAATCCTGCAGTTGAGGAGGGGAACTGATTCTCTACCAAACTGACCCAGCTACTTGTTTGGATTTGATTTGTCCTTAGGAGTTGTAGGGGAGGCGTTTGCATGGCAGGTGCTGCTCTCGTCTTCGGATGGGAGGAGCTTGGAGGGCGATGGGAACTGAGATGAACAGAGTAATCCCCATGTCGATTTCAAGAGACATCGCTCGTATGGGCTTCTATGGTTGACTTACGAGAAACAATGGTTTGGAGCGGTTTCGGTAGGAGCACCAGCGAGCACCATGTTTCATGACGATGTTGACCTCAAAATCAGGCCGGGTACGAGGGCCTTGCGGTCGATCATTCACTCAGAAAGGACATCAAAGGACATCACAAGCTCCATCCAAGGGATTATATAAACATTCTTCACGGCTCCAAGGAATTAAACATCCTTCAAGGGCCTTGCGGTTGATTCTGAACTCTTTCTTGGCTTTAAACATTCAGTATAGCTTGAGCTCTTCGCGACAATTAGATCGACCTCAGCTACTTGGAGGTCTCAAAAGCTGAAACAAAGAGCTGTTTTTCAGCATCGGTGAGCATTGCCCGATATTTCTGAGCCTGCAAGAGTTACAGTAGGGCGACTGAACAATTTTGTTAAACGTGAACAACAGTTGCGCATCTCCATTTCGAGGTGGGAGTTCAGGTGTTCCTTGGGTTATGTTTTGGGGTGGGTGTCATTTTCCGTGATTCTGCGGAGCTCTCACATTGCACACAATCTTCGGGGGAAACGGCCTAATCACGGGACTTGGAGAAAGACATTGGGACAAATAAAGGACCTTCTTTAAGTCGTTCATTTGCCAGAACTGTAAGGGTCAGTAAGAGATTTGAACCCAATCTTCGCTGCGCAGAAGGTTGGAATGTTCGCCCAATGTTCGCCAACCTTCTGCGGGTCTCGAACGACTCCAACCTCACTCACGGATGGCCCCCCACGCGTCGTTGCCGGCCGACCTGATTCACCCGATCCTGAGACCGTCACTAGTAGCTCCTGGCATTGCGACCAGTAACAAGAAGCCACGAACGGGGCTCCTGGCATCGCTACGAGGAGCAAGGACGCTACGAACGGGGCTCCTGGCCGTACTACTAGGAACAAGACACTACTAGTAACAAGAGTTTACTAGGAACATCTAGGAACATCGCCGATCGCTCGTAGCAAGAAGCTACGAACGCCCAGCTCACCCACATCTGTTGTATGCTGGGCTTGTTCTGCTTCACTTCCGCGCGAGATCGCCAGCCATGGACCCGGTCCGCACCTCGCCCGCCACGGTCCTCCGAGGTACTTACATTGAGATCCCACAGGTGCCCGAGACGCACGCAGTGCCCCAGCTGACCGTGGAAGTGGCGGGCGAAGCACGGGTTTGGATGAAGGTGCTGTACGGCCTTAGGGGATCTGATCTTGACATACCCATTCCAAAAGATCGGTAACAGAGCTGCACGTCAGCTTCCGCTTCCCCATGTACAAGATGCACCTCAGCTCTCAGCTGGTGTGCTCTCCTCTACAGATCTGGCCCGTCCTCTCACCGTGCCGGCCGTCTCGACGCGCGGAGCCGCCGTGACCAGGTTCTCCTCTCTCAGATCGACTGGATGTGGGGCGCGGAGATGGGTGCGAACGAGCGTGGTGTCTGGGCACCTGCGGTGGATGGTCGTGTTGACGTGTTGTCCAAGCGTGAAAGTGCGGGTGAAAGTGCCTTTGGGAGGTGTTTGCCCAAGAATGACATCGTCTTCATGGATTGTGTGTTATAGATTAGATCATTCTGTTCTGTTTGACATAAATGTTGTATCATGTTGTATTTCAATATATATATATATAGAGAAATAATGTCTAGCAACTAATAGATCCTAATGAAACATATCCTTCTAGTATAGTTGAGGTGACAAACACATGGACCGAACTCTCTCCATGTTGCCCAACCCCAAGGCGTGGTCTGTGGCAATGAGGCTGTGTGGACAGTGGAGGATGACAGTGGGCCAGCGGCCCTGCATCTCAGATGAAGTGGGGAACACCTACTCCTGACTCCTGATGTGTGTGGGCCCGTCTCAGACCACAAGGCAGGCGTTGTCTTTGCTGACCAAACATTTGCATTATGAAATGATCAACACTCGTCCGGCCAATTCCGAGATGCTAGAAGTTTCAAAGTGGGCCTATTTGGACAAAATATGTTAATTGATGTTTATTAAGTAATTTAGATCCGTGTTTGGAACAGTGTTTCAATGCTCTTCTGGCCCAATCTTCCGATGCAGCTTGCAGGGACTCAATAGGTTTCTATCGCTCAGCTCAAACGATTTTTGGAAGCGTTTGCACCTTGACGCGAACATTTTGTGTATTTAAGCTCACCAATTAAGCCCTCCGCAAGCAGTTTCTTGCTCACTTCGGTGCAGGTGGGTGGCAAGCACATGCCACAGCCAACAACCACATCCCTCCAATTGGTTGGGGGGGGTTGTCCGACCGATTCCGAGGTCGCTGGTTGGGACTGAAAAAGCCGAAAAAGCCGGTGACGACCCACCACATCCAAGGCCTTCTCGCAGGAGGGACAATGTTTCGTTTGTGAACCCCGACCCCAAGGGTACCTCAACTCCACTTGGGAGCTGTAATTCACCCGGATGCATGGAGTGTTGGGATGTGTAATCGACATCCTTAAACCTGGCTCGCATCATATGCTACCATTCCAAAAACCATGCGCATGCCTGATGCGAACTTCAGGTCGCTCAATTTCTGGAAGTTCCAAGCTGCACTCCAACAGACCAAATATTGACTCCCAGCCAACTCCTTTGAATTGGTTTGTCAATGAGAAGTAACAACCGAGTCCATCCCATCCATTCCATGTTTCGCTTGTGACTGGACCGAAGAGTCACTCCGGTGAGGTGACACTGCCTACCATATCGTATGGTACCATCTGAAATCAATGCACCAACCCAAACGAATTGAGTTCAACAGGTGTTCAATGTGTTTTTGTGTTTCTGACCGACCGTCTCTCCAATTGCCGCCAGTCGCGCCGAACATGTCTCCCAAGGCTTGGTATGGACCTCTTGCGCTTGGGCCTAGAACGCGGGGCCACCGCACGAGAGGCCTTGCAGGCGAGATGAACATGTCAGCGAGTCCAATCGATGTTCTGTTGGCGTTTTTGGATGAAGAGATGATGACGAGGTGATTTGCAGAGGATGCGGAATCGACATGATGCATGGTATTCTTCTTCAATCCATGATCATCCGAGCAGGCTGTTGGCCTCCCGAAAAGAGGTCCAAGTATGCAGGTGACGGTGTGTGAAGATTCTACCTTGGGGAACCTTTGGACTTATGTAACTAGCCGGGTTTGACCTGTTTACCCAGAAGAGCACACAAACAGGTTACTTTCCTCGGGTCTATGGACAAGGAAAATGATGTGGCATACATGGATCTTATATGATCTTATCATATATTTGTAGTTACAGCCTTTGTTTTTCTAAATAAGGCTTAACTTGGTTCCTCATGATAGAAAGCAGGTGTGCTGCGGTGTTTTTCCATGGTCCTCCAAACCCAGGGGCCCTGCCATTCGCATAACCATGATGACTTCAGGGAAGAGAATTCGACCCTTGAAGGTGTTCTATGTCCATCGACTCTTGCCTCCGTCCGGTGCTCAGTACCTCGCTCTCACGAACACGCCACTTCACGAGAACACCCTGGTGGGAGGATTCCCAATCCACTTGTTCCTCGAAAACGGATGATCACTTTGATTCAGTCCCTGCACCTGTTCCACTGTCTTGCTGCCCGTTCGCTGCCGATCACGAGGTGATCACCTCGCTACTGGAGCAGCATGGCCAGGGCGGCGCATGTGCAGAGGGTGACCCGTGGCCCGGTGTGAACGAAGAGATGAGGCTGAAAGTCAGAGTCAGGTGTGAGTTCCCACTAGTATCTATACGTAGTGCAACATGTGTGTGTGTGTGTGTCAAACCCTGTCCCTAAGGGCTTTCCATGTTTTCAAAGCAGGGGCGTACGGCTCGTCATACCCACCGTACGCAACGAAGCTACGGTATGACGAGCGAGGGGTGGACTGATCATCCACCTGTACCTGCTTCAACGGTTGAGTACGCTGCTCCAATCCTTCTTTTTTTGATTCCATGGTGGTTCACGATACGTCCCCCAAACCTTTTTTTTCCCACCGCTGACTTGCAGCCGCTTTGCAGCCGCGCTTGTGTGTCAGATTGCAAACATTGTTCAACCATACAGTTCTCGCCGACCTTTTCGCCTTGCCGTTCCCTCACCATTTTCGACCTGGGAATTGAGCTAACTGAAAACCAATGTCAAAGTGTGAACCGCTCAGCCGTCCGACTTGGGTGCTGGGTGTGATCCCCGTGACAGGGGCGCCGAAGCCATGCAGGAATTTCACTAACAGCCTTTTCGTTTCCACCACTCGTTGGATTGTCTTAACCGACTTCTTTTCACCACTGGATTAACTGCATAAAAAGCCGTCGGGCTTACACGACATGCCGCCACAGCCGCCGGGCTAAAAAACGGAATTCATTTCCACTTGAGGCCAGGCATGGTTTCCCAACCCCCCCCCCCTCCCCGCCGAGTTCTACTCCCTACCTAATAGGGTAACAGAGGGAAATGGTACTCGGCACACTTGTGTGTCGGTGCCTTTCCCTCTGTTGTCCCTTTTCTAGTCTTCTCTACCCGGGCGGTTTAAAACTAAAGTCCCGCTCCCTAACTATTGAACTTAATTCACTTCTGCTAAGTAATCAGTAACTCTAGAGTGCTAAGTATTCAGACACACACATGGACATACACCCCCTCCCTGCCCCCCCACTTTCCTTCTTGCGCTTTTCGTCGTTTGTTGGGCTTTCTCTCAGGCTTTTTAGGTTGCTCTTGAGGCTCGTTTCCCTACCCCAGTCAAGGGCTAAGTATTCACTTTTTTCTACTCCTACCTTTCTCTCTTGCCCTCTTAGCGCTGCTCTTTCTGTGTTTCTTTCTTTTGTTTCTAAGGCTTTTTAGGTACCTATTCAGGTCGTTCGCACGAGCGCCGCAAAGCGGCACCGTGTGTGTGTGTGTGTCAAAGCCCTGTCCCTAAGGGCTTTCCATGTTTTCAAAGCAGGGGCGTACGGCTCGTCATACCCACCGTACGCAACGAAGCTACGGTATGACGAGCGAGGGGTGGACTGATCATCCACCTGTACCTGCTTCAACGGTTGAGTACGCTGCTCCAATCCTTCTTTTTTGATTCCATGGTGGTTCATGATACGTCCCCCAAACCTTTTTTTCCCACCGCTGACTTGCAGCCGCTTTGCAGCCGCGCTTGTGTGTCAGATTGCAAACATTGTTCAACCATACAGTTCTCGCCGGCCTTTTCGCCTTGCCGTTCCCTCACCATTTTCGACCTGGGAATTGAGCTAACTGAAAACCAATGTCAAAGTGTGTGTTTTAGAGTGCAAATTCGTTGTAAACTGCACCTCTTTTCAGTACTAAGGATGTCGAGTGGAAAGCGGGTCACACCAGCACCTTTTTGTAGGTCAGAGAATGTCGAACAGCTGGTGGAGGGTATTGGCACGGTACTTCTTACAAGAGCGTTTCGGTTGCATGCGCCAGTATCGAAACCAGTCTGTTTTTGGTCGCAAGAAAACATACCTCTAGATAAAGCTGTATAGACTGTGCTGGAAAACGCAGAGATGCTGCAGTCCATTCAAAATTGGAAGCTTCCACCATGGGTCATATATGCCCTGCAACTCCAACCATTGCTGGTAAGTGAAGGATGGTTAAGTGATGTTTTTAGAGGAACTATGAAACCGAACCACACATTGTCACCAGTGTGGCCACTTGGGATGCCTGGACCGAGGTCCTTTACTTATCACAACAGTCACTTGGCGGGTGATTGGGTGATGTCATGTGGGCTTGCAGGTGGGCTGTGTATTTTACTAGGAAGACAGAGTGGTCTATTTCCCGAGAATTTGAGGGGGTTGGGGTTGGGTTGAACGGGTGTGTGAATTTTTGGTTCGCTTGGGGTTCGCTACGACACCAGTTTCATGGGCATGGTATCTCGTTCTTCATCTTTAGGGAGTCAACGGGACCCATGGACCTGCCAACCCGTCTGGTCCAGGGGCCGATGGTTCAAGGTGCAAACCCACCCGTAAAAGGAGACATCAATCCAGTGGGTTTTGCAATGTGTTGATTTTTGAGCCAAATTTGTTTTCCTTACCAAACGCTAGTGTTTTTAGGTGACGGTGTCTCACTTCCCATCCAAAACGGACTATGTTTTCTTTTGTGGATCGACCATAATCTTTGAAGTCAGCATAGTTCAGCTTATTTATTTATATAGTCCTTTGTAAAGGCCACCAAGCCAAAGGTTGTTTGGTCATGTTCAGAATCACGTTTGCTGGCTGGGAAGGACGAGCGATGTCCTTCTGTGAAGGACGTAATATGTGCGATGACTGCAAGAGTTCCGATGTTGTCTCCCAATATGTCGAACCGAGGTCGTCTTTGGGTTCCAGCAGATAAAAATCTCCTTTTTGAGATCTTTGAGCCATGAAAGATGTGGAAAGATGTGGCAAAGTACCATTTCTGGAGGGTCCAATGGAGATCTTAAGATCCATCATGATCCATCCAGTCAGGAAGTGTCTTCCATTTGCGTCCAACCAACGACCCCCGCGTGCGAGGCTTTTTGATCAGCGACGCTTGGGAGTCCTGGATCCTGGAGACCGCTGGGCGCCAGTGGGTCGCGCAGCGCTGGACCGAGGGCTCCCGAGCCTTGGTGCGTTCGATGCTCGACGTGTGGGGTGGCTACTAATTAGTAGCTTCTTGCTACTAGTATAGTACTAGGATGTCCTCCAACCTCCTAGCGATGGCCTCCAACCTAGAAGCCTTTGTGGCTTAAATAATCTTGTTCCAGGGGTCATGTCACCTGGAATGGCTGAGAGGGGGGTCCCCTTAAGCCACCACACATCGTGAGATGCATCCGAACATGCGGGGTGTTTTAGTAGATGTGTCTAAGAGATACTGTTTCAGTAGATGTTTTTCGTGAGGTGTTTCTATGTATTTCTTGCCATGTGGGGTGTTTCTGTATGTCTAGACCACAATTGCTTTGGCATACCGGCGGATCCTGACCGTCCGATGGGAGTGGGTAGGTATCTCATGGTGCCATGGTGCCCCATTCTCACTGGTGGGAAGGTGAGATAGAAGGAGGGGAACGCCATGAGAAGAAACGACGACGATCGCTTCGAGCGGTACACGAGGTACGGTGGCCTAGTTACGGTACTCGGGCAGTGTTTTGCTTAGATTTGGTGTTGTCGATTGTTATTTTTGTCAGTGCTTGTTGTATGCTGTCGTGTTTTGTCCTGGTGCGTTGTCAAGTAATACGTTAGAAGATGTGGTGTGGCCCTTGTGGCTATGTTTCGTGTTGCCGTTCTTCGCGTCCTTGTTGGCCGTTTGTTGTGTTTGTCCTTGTGTACCTGTGTTGCGGTTCTGCTTGGTGTTGCCGCGGTATATAATGTGTGTTGTTTGCTGTCATGTCATATCGGTCCACTGGTTGGACCCCACGTCGGGCCACAGCCGACTCGAACAGCCGCGAGAACCGTCACGACAGGGCGGGCTGTTTGTTTGAACTTTCCCCAGCGTCCCATACAAGTCTTGGGAGTGCGAGTCGATCCCACGCAAGTTGAAACAAAGTGAGTATTTTTTGGGCGTGTTGTTGGGAGTGCTGTCGTCCCATGCAAGTTGAACCGTATGCAAAAGCGCGTTCCGCGCAATGCGTAGCCATAGCCTGCGCAATGCGGACGAGACCGCTGTTCATCAGAGAAAAAAGAATGGAAAGACCAGTCGTGTCACATCCTCTCCTGGGACGCTTGTCAGGAAATATCTCCAATGGATTGACCATTGGAAGTAATTTCGACCTCATGTCTGATGGGCTTTTGGAACATGCCCGAGAGTGCCTAAGGCTGCAAAGAGAGGATCATCCCGCATGATTGTCATACCATCCTCCCGTCATGTCCCGTCAAGTGAGTTTGACTGCGGGATGAAACTTAACGGGCTGTCCCAAAGCCGAATCCTACTTGTTGTGACAGATGACTCACTCAAGGGGGTATTCCGATGATATGGTCATTCGATAATACTGATTTGTAATGTTGATAAAAGCCTTGAACAGCTGCGTGCAACAAGAAAACTATAAGACACTTTTATTTATTCTCTCATGTGATGCTCACTTATCAAGACAGCTTGCTTAAGCCGGTCTGAGACGCCGGCGGTTTTGTGTAACATGTAATATATATATATATATATGTGTGTTTTTGAATTGTCTCACTTCAATTGAGTCCGGACACACCTATGGCAGAGCGAGCGAGAGAGGTAGGAGGCACCTTGTATGTGTCCCCGTTGGGGTCAGACCCGATGAATGGACCAACGAATGACGTCACTAATGACACATGATGGACCTCTAAAAAACGTCGGATGGACCTCTATTCCATATTTTATAGAAGTATCGAGCACCTATCTCCATCCCTCTTTTAAGACCACCTATCCCATGCAGCGGAAACCAACGCGCTGGAACAGGACGTGCCGACGACCTGGTCACGAACAGGACGACAGGACGTGTCTATTGGGGATCACATCCATGTCTGAGCAGGTGTCTATTGTGCTAACCCACAGTTTTCGCCCACGACTCACACATGTTGATTGAGGCGAAAGCTTTGGGATGGCTCCGGCGACTTCCACTGGGCGCGCGCCTTCTCCAGTGGTGGGATTGACCTGTCTCCCCACAGTCGGCAAGCCTGCGGTGGCCGCTTTCTTCATGTTTGCTTGGTTGAAGAATCGGGTCTACAAAGTCTAAAAAGACGGGTTTTCTTGGTGAGGGACGGATGGACATTTCTCAACGAGGTTTCAAAGCTGGGTGTGTTTACTCCATTTCCTCCGGGTGCAAATGGAGGAGACGGCAATGGAGTGGAATAGAAGCTGCCTTCTAGGAGCCGAAAAGGGACGCCAAATCATAATGCAAGCAAATACATGAGTCACAACGGAGGTTCCTGGAAGAAAGTATTCCAAACATGTCCAAGAAAATGACAGGGTCGCCTCACGACCCTCACAAGGCGATACCCTGTTTCTGATTCAATGTCTTTATATGCCAAAGCAATGCAAACCGCTAGGGACAGAATTGGCTCTAGTTTATTACAAAACGACAACATGAACATGGAGTCTAATTATGATACGTTAAACCTTGTTGATACATGTTGTTTTTTGTTTAGTCCTCACGATCCATTGAATATGAGCCATTCCACCAATGTAGACAGTGTCCCTCTGAGTGGTTGGATTTACACGTCCTCCAACCTCTGGACGCACGCTACTGCGCTACTGCGCTACAGGTCACGTCCGCCTCACGACACGACCACCGAAACATCGAGGCCAGCTGATGCAGCAACATGCGAAGCGATGCACATTGGATGGCCACTGGTCGACCGACATGGCTGGAAGAAGGGGCAATCGGACCGTCAACCGTCCACGGTTGAGGAGTGGAGCCCTGGTTGTTTTTTCCCTTCGAAAGCGTCCAAACCGTGGAGCTCTTAGGCTCCAGGAAGCCCAGGCGCCGTCGGCTGACACGTTGATTGGTCTTCGGAAGCCGAATCCAGATCCTGACGATCCATGGTGAATCAGGTTGCGGTCAGGGTGGTGCTGGCATACTTTTTCGTGTTTGGCCCACTGCTAAAGGAAGGACGACTTGCAACATGAGGATCAAATTTGCTTGGTCTTACCAGTTGGGATGCAGGTGCTCGATACGGATATGGATGGTAACGGAAGGTGTTTTATTCTGTGTGAGCACAGGGTGTGTTTGATATGATATACATGAATGAGTATGTTTGGGAACAAGCAGATCTGAACTCTACCAGACTGGTAGCCCCATGTTCATACAAACAAATCTGGTGTGGCTGTGTTGGTGGTGTTTCTTTGGCATAGTTTCTTTTGTTACTAGTAGTTTCTTGTTCTAAGTAGTGATTGCCTCCAAACTACTTGCAATGGCCTCCACCTAATAGCGTCCTAGTTACTAGTAGTTTCTTTTGTTTCACGATGTCCCAAACACCTGGCGAGTGGCTGAAGGGCTTTGAGACATCGTGCGAGTATATATCTGTCAGAGCCTCCACCAGCAGGACTAGCTAAGGCATCTGAGGCTGTTTATAGGGCGTTAAGAGTTTCTTAGGTGGTGCAGTGTAGCGTCAAACAGGATGACCGCATGACCGGGACAAGAAGCTACGATCGGGGCGCTCCTGGCATGACTACTAGGAACAAAGGTCATCTTTGCGCCTTGTGATGAATGAATTGAGGTCCTGCGATGATGGCGATTCTCCGGGATCACGACGGTGGCGTGGAGCGGTGCGGGTTGGCTGGGGTGGGGAGTTGCGGAGCGAGGAGTAGCGGATGACGACACCGAGTAGCATATACAAGCTCCTTCCTAGTAGTAAGGCCAGGAGCTATTAGTAGCGGTAGCGTCCTTGCTCCTAGTAGCGATGCCCTTTGTTACTAGTAGCTTCTTGTTCCGAGTATATTTTATTATAAGTCCTTTCAAATCAGTTTTGAAGATTGGTCGTCAAGACCATCTCCGCTTCAATTTTGGATGCAGGCTAGAGTGACAGTTTGGTGAACAGCCTCGGGTTGGAAAATGATTGTGAGATTGGTTTGACATTAAACCCAATCACGCGACACTGTTGCGACCCCGTCAAAGCCTTAATGCCAGGTTTGCATTCCCCTAGTTGTCAATGATGCACTTCATGACAACGCACCAGGATCATTGACCCATGCCCCATGCCATAAAACTTAAACAGTTGGCCAGTGAATGTAGATGAAGATCTCTTGCAGATGGAAGTCGGATGTTGGTACAAATAAATACTGCCGCATGTAGGGGCTCCATGGGTTTCGCAGCTTTGCAGTGGGCGGATCCATCGAACCTGAGAAGAGACAATCCTCCCCCCCCAAAAAGAAGAGAAGACAATTCTCCCCCCGATAAAAAGAAGTCTTTTTGTGCGCAACAAAAAAGAGCCCCGGCAAAGAGAACAGATCGCCTCTGCCAGACCAAGGTGGGATCTGCATGCACGGCGCTTTTGAAACCACCTCCGCCATGGTCAGCGAGCTGCGGCGGCCCGCAGACGCTGCGGACAACCGCGCCCAGCTCGCCGTGGCGACGCATTGGTTCACAGGCGCGGCATTCGGAGAACTGGCAGATCTGGAAGTGGAGAAAAGGCTATTTGTATCCAAGGCATCCAAGCGACCCAGTGTCCTCCATTCTACACATCGCATGATGATTTCAGGGACTGTAGGGGAAGAAAGAACGACGCATGATTCGATGGGCTCACCTGTTCGGGGGGGATAAACACTCTCCAACACCGGGGGCGTACCAGACAATCCCTTCTGGATATTTAAGAAGCACGGCCTCACTAATTCTTTAACAAGCTACAGGTGGAAGATGTGAAAGCCAAACACAGGCGTGCGTCCGAAATGACTTTGGACAGAGGAACATTCTAACATTCCTCATGGATTAATCCTCATTACAATACGTGTAGCTAAAATGGGAAACAAACTACAATATAGAGTAAATATGAGGAAATGTCCTTTCCCTCAAGTAGTTGTTCTGCAAAACCCAACGAACATTACAATCTTGATTCTCAGAAGAATCAAACCAAAGCAAACACATAATAGTTATGCAAAAAAGATATGGAAATCAAAGCAGGTACCACCCAATATAGGAAACCCGCCAGCAGTTGTTGGATTCCAACCTCTTCCCTGAAATTGTCCTTAATATGACCTTATAAACCCCTATTAAAACACCAGTGATTTTGCGAGACCTCGGTGGAAAGTGCGTTTGTGTTGCTCAGTGCCATTGGGGAACAGGACACATGCATGTGCAAATGTGGCGTGTTACTGGTGAGCGGCGCGATTATTGGTGATTCTCACAGTAAAAGAACGTAGAAGAAAGTAAAGCTGATAGTTAGAAGAAGCCTTTTCAGGTGTGTCCAACATGCCTTTGTTTTTGGTAATGTTCTTGACTGTCATATCACATGTGTGATATCATATAATTTGTTTGTGATATATATATATATAGTCAACATCTATCAGACCAAGAAGAAAACCGTTCCACGCTTCGGAAAAGCGCGCTTACGGGTCGCGACCCATTCGCGACCCATTCGCTGCACGGTGTACTGATCGGATGCTCGGTTTTCCAGACACCAAGAGGTTTGGTTGAGAAACACTTCCGAGTGTGAGCTAGTCCGTGTCCGTGTGCGTCCACGTCCGTCGGTGCTTTTTGTTGTATTTTTAAACAGGGTTTGATGGGATGTGGGACAGAAGCAAGCGTATGGCGGGACATGAGTTGAGAGCGATCCTCTCCTGACATGTGATTGATGAACATGAGACAGGATGCTTCTATTTTGGGAGGGTCACCTGAATAGAGAAATCTGCAGTATCCAAGTTCTGCCGCCCCAAGCGCCGAGATCATCATCAAACAGTAGATGACGACCCACAGGACCACCGGGCGGTCCCACTCCACCGGGCGGTCCCACTCCTGGCGCTCCAAGAGACAGCGCTCCAAAAGAGCGCGTGCGAGAGCGCGTGCCAGGGAAGCCGCATCCTTGCAAGTGCGAGTTCATTGAGCAAAGCTTCTGACTGAGATGATTGGGTGCTTCAGTGCTTCTGACTGAATCCAAACCATTTGGATCCATTTGGGCCAAAGATTTGCCCTTGGATGGTTACAGTGAGACCCTGGAGTTGCTGGAAAAAGGTGAGACCCTGGAGTTGCTGATCAATGGCCTCACAAAAGGAGGCAATGGGCACCTGCAAGCTGGATGGCACCTGTGACACGAGAACATGAACGTCTAATTTGTTGAGCTGAGCAGAGCTGTGTAATCCAGGTGTCGCACTTGTAGCCGGTGCACTACTGTTGATGAAAGTTTTCGCATCCACTGGAACCACCAAAAGACCTATTCTCCATTCTGGCCTTCATCCCTCGGATGGGCAGCAGTCCCCCAAGCAAGAACGTTGCACCTTTCTTGCACGCCAGGAAGCTCAGGCAGATGCTTCTCCCTTTTGCGTGGAGGATGGAGAGCTGAAGGCGACGAGCCGAAGAGCGGATGTCTTCGTTTTTCGCCGGCGGTGTGACGTGACGAGAGTGGCGAGAAACTGACGTCGTACGAAGAACGGTTTACCTTCTTGCTAGATGGTTCTCACTCGTTTGCACCAACCTGGGTGCCAGTTGTGTTGACCTACAGGATCCACCGTGCTTTGTGATTATGGTAATTACAAAGGAGGTCTACTGATGTGTACTATAATATGTGTACTATATGTTTTTCAGTGTTTGTCGTGAGAAAGTTCGTAACAGATATCAACAGCTACTCAGTAGCTACCCGTGTGCCGTCGCAAAGGCCCGCGAAGCGAGTCACCCATTGGCCATTGAATGGGTTTGACGAAAAGCAGTTTGTGGGGTTGGTGCGTTTTTGCGGGGTGCCTCAAAGATCCTCAAAGCAAGTATTATGCCGACCCCGAAACAAATGTACTGATTTAGGGGGGCTGCTGGCTGCAACCTCAGCGACTTTCTCCTGCCTTCCTTTTCTGCGGAACTCCTTGATGTAATCCGAATGCATGGAGTGAAGGAGTGCCTGAAAGCCTGCAAGCCTGGCGGTGGAACCCGGAGGTACGTTGACCTCCCCAGGAGTCTCGTTCAAACTGGTCTTCTCCGGTCGGTTCCCCCGATTCTGACCCCCCTTTGCTTTACTCGTTGTACCTGACTCAGAATGTTTATTAGCTGTTAGCATCCCCATGTCCCCAATCCATCACCCCGAACTTGACAATCCCTCAAGCTGGTTGCTTTATCCTGCTTGTGGTCGCCAGATGCAATTACCATCAACTACCTATAGAAAAAATAACGATGTACATCTATGCACATGATCAACAATCAGAATGACCCCCTACGTCGTTTGGCAGGAACATTTTAACATTAGGCCGGGAAAAATCTATCAAAATGCATTCATAAGGGAATTTACTATAAACTGATGAATGAAGGAAAAGAAATACCAGGATAATTCACTCCAATGAATTCACTTTGTTCCTATTTGTACTTGTATTTGAAATTTCATGGAAAGGGAAAGGACATTAAAAGAAAAATACATCAAACAATCTAAACGATGTGTCAGAGAATGAGCAGGTCTTTTCAATGGCCTTTATCCAAACATTGGATTGAACGTACTTGCCAAACATTTGTTATATATATATATATATACAGTATATGTGTTCATGGAAAATGCAACTAGATAAAATTAATGCCGAAGACAAACTATGTTATTATAGGAGCCCCTCAGGTTCAACCCCTGGGGAGAGCAAGAACCCTTTCGCGTTCTCAAGAGAGCCCTCCGAGTCGTTTGGCACAAGGGTTTTGAAAGCAACCCAGCTAGGGTCATGGCTGTTCATTGATACCCGTCGATGGGTAAATCGGCCGCAGATCATTCCAATCAATCCCAGATACAAAGTCAGCCAAGCCGAAGAGGGTTCAAGTCTACTCGCATTCTGCTTGAGTCTGCCATCACTTGAATGAAAGTAGACTAAAGGCAGAATGAGACACAAGTGCTTGGAGATTTGCTATTCTAAAAGCCCCAATCACTTGATCTCCCCAGTCGCCTCTCCCCGCTAGGGCCTTGTGGCCAACGCCTTCGACGTGGTGGTGATCTCCTTGGTGCCTTCGGAGGGGGAAGTGAAGAACTCTTACATCCTTTATAAAGTGTATATATATAATATATATGTTATAAGATAGTAGTTAAAAAGTGCGTGTACGTGTGTATAGATATATTTGTATATACACGCATACATTTAGGTGTCAAGGCTTTGATGATTTGTTCAAAAGTTTTTTTCCTAGCCCTCCTTCGTTCTGTTCAGTTAGGGAGTGACCATTGGTCCAAAAAGGAGCAGAGGAGAGAGAACCTCCAACGCACCGTTCAAGGTGCTCTCCTTCCTTCCCAGCCCGGAGAAACGCATCGAGATGGTGGCCAAAGCTCGCCGCTGCCTCCGGAACGACCGTGGCCTCCTGTTTGCTGCTCGGCGGCCCACGGGGCGCAAGCCAGTCGACATGTGGCGTTGCCTCGTGGATGTTGAGGTAAATTGAGGGGTGAAATGTGATGAATGACGCGAACATCGTGTTGAAGCTTGGAAAGAACAGTCACGGTGGATTGCAGTGTGGCATCATTTAACTGATGAGAACCGACGCTCCTTATGGACACCACGGGTGTTAATTGGTGTTGGAGGCGCTTGAATGCATGTGGGTTTTTACAGCGGACCTTGCACCGTTGAATGGCCAGTAAAAGAAGAGTTTGTGGGTTGCACCAAATTGAACATTGGTTGCTAAGGTGATCCGCTTTTCACAGTATCACAGTATCGCAGAAGCCCATGAACCACTTGCACCTGGACCCTTCAACACTTACCACCATGTAGTTTGTTTTCGAGCAGGACCCAAAGACCCAAAGCATCCAAAAAAGAGCAGATGAAACATCGACGTTGTAGAAAGGGAGACTGTCTCAACTTATCCGATTTGATCCGATTTTTTCGGTTTTGTCCATCTGACCAAAGTGGACCGGACTACCTCGCCGCGAGGTGGTGGAGGGAGGATCTGCCGTCATGGACGGCAGTTGGTATCAGAATCTTGGAGAACTGGATGTCCTCCTTTTATAGTTTGTGGTGTTCGTGTGTTTTGGTTGGAATCAAATGATGTTTAAACAGATGCTCGTGAGCAACTGCGTCTCAAGCAAGCCCATGTGAGAGATTGCTCAAGAAGATTGACACTCACGTGTGTTGGCTTCGTGTTATAGAGCTGGCACAAGTGTCACAAGTTACCTTTCATCACTACCAAAAAAACAAAAGACGTGTATGTGTTTGTGTGTGTGTGTGTTTCTCTCACAACTTCCATTTTGCAGGGCCCATAGCATGAGGATGAAAGCCCTGGCTCGCATCCCAATTCTTGTCAATCATTTGAATGGTTATGTAACTGGGGCGTTTCATGCGGTCTCAGGAAGGATGCAGCTGCCGAGTGGTCTTTAGCCATGGCCACATAGCTGCAAGGAATGTACGAGGGCTGTGGCCGAGAAGAACTGTGTGAAAGCTACGAGCTTTTGCTTACTGCAATGGTTCCTATGCAGGCAATATACGCAATATACCATGATTGTGATACCATGATTGTGATCCCATGATATCCCATGTATTCAGAATCCTGGACGTCCGGAGCGAAAAGACATCCGGTCATCGCAAGAGGACACCAAGCAGGACCAAGAAGTCGAATGCAGACAGCGAGACGTTCTCCCGGTCTCCAGAGACCGACGCGGAGGCCATCGCCCTTTGCTTCTAGTAGCCTTCTTAGTTATGTTCGTAGCGATGGCCTCCAACCTACTTGCGATGGCCTCCACCTTTATAATAGCTCCCCACCGCTCCCAGTGCTACAAGGAGGAGAGTCCCTTGACTCAGACATCCAACACAGTACATCCGTCCTGAAAAAGAGGCACTGCTCAGGTACCACACAGCGGTTCCACGGGTCCACAAGAATCGAAACAAATGCGAACTTCTGTTGCCCTGGAACTCTTTCCGTGCCTCGTTGCTTGCACTGCATTGCGCAGTCGTTGCCTCGAATGTGTTGAATTGGAGGTCGACTGTGCATCCTGCGGAAAGATGTGTCCCGTCGGACTGTCTCTCTTCTCCAGCGTGCTGTGTGCAATCCAGCGTGCCACAGGCAGGTGCTGTGTCGGCGGGTTTTCCAAAACGTGTTCCTGCGCTGTGCCTCAGCACATTATAGCTTTGTTGTGCATTCAGTTTACAGGCCGAAGGAAAAGGAAAGCAAAGAGTTTTAGCATCAGCAGGGGCGTGATTTAGGTCACACATCAGCCTAAAAGCAGATGCCAGCCAGGTTCTAGAAATTTTATCAAATTGTAAGATAGCTTAAGATAAAACCCACCACCAATTCTTAGGTTTACTTGTAAAACAATCAGACATTCATGAGGCTTTGGGTGCAGAAAATGATTTGGCGAAACATTGCGAAACCATTTTCTTGATTTCCCTCCCAAGACATCCAAAACCTGGGACATCACTTCAGCACATACCTTCAAAAAAAAGAAACGCCAAGACATCCCGCGCTTCTTCGCAGAATTCCAGCATGTTCCAGCACCTTCACCTCTCAGGAGAGTGCCGGTTTCAAGGCCATGCACTTCGATGCCTCCTTGCGCGAGGGCCGGCGCTCCAAACGGGTTCTGCAGTGGATCCTAGCGCCTCGGTCGAAGCGTTCACCGAAGGTTCACCGGTTCACCGGACCCGCTTGGAGTAAGGGAGACAAGGGAGGACCATCACTTCCACCTGCCATTTCCACCTGGTTCGAAGTCCAATGTCCATCCTGCAGATCCGACCGAAGAAGAGGCAGTGGGTCAAACACGGCTGAATGACAAATCGGTTTCTACGGCTGTCCGCACGATAAGGCCTTTCGGGGTCGGAAGAACCTCAGGGACCCGCTCCAGCAGTGGAGCCACTGATTGCCACCAGCTCTTCCTACTCCAAGTGCCCGAGAATGTGAGACAACCGAGGAGACAAAGCCAGTGGAGACGACCAACCTGGCGCCGCTCTACGCGTGGGGACCTGGTGGAATG